ATATAGTTACGTTTAGTTAAAGGTGTAAATATGTGTAGTCACAGGAAATTGAAGTTATGTTTAAATATAAAAATGATTTCACACGAGAAATTTTTTGAATAATATTTTTTGAAATAATATGGAAATCTGACAGCAAACAGTGAGAAATATTCGAATTATAAAAACGAGGCATGAATTACACATAACGCAACTGAAGTGAATGTAATTTCCCCAGTCTTCCGGTGTAAGTTTTTATTAACGACACCCATATTGATGTAAACCAAATGTCCTTTGCCCATTGTAAGGTTTTAGCGACAGTGTGAAAAGAGAGCACATTAAATGGAATCCATTTTTGTCGTTTTAAGTTGGTTTTGATAGATCACGAAGTTTAAATTTTATAAACATATTTAAGCTAATTACTTTTTTAATGAACTTGCATCTTATGTAGCCCCTCCCAGAGGCTTAGCGGCATGACTGTGGACTTACAAAGCGAAAATCCGGGTTTCGAAACTCGTGGTGGGCACAGCGCAGATAGCCCTTTACGTAGCTTTGTGCTTAGTTTACAAACAAACATTTTATGTAATGGATATTGTGCTGCCATCTACTGCAAAAATATATCAGTATGTGTGTAGTCGTATGTTATTTGTTTAGATTTTTTTCAATATTTTGATATCTATAATTTTGCTTGATATTTTAATGAAATATTAGGTTTAAAGGTTTATTGCCACACCCAAATGGTTACCAAAATAAACGCCCTCACTTAAGAAATAACAACAGCGAACACAGAAATAAGGACGGTAGTATATAAGCCACGAAAGGAATTGAGCAGTTCGAGTTTAGGATGACACTCCTCATTTAATGAGATTGAATCATATGCAAAGGACCTTAAAATATATAGAAAATCGCTTCCAAAGAGTAGGTATTACAACAATTAAGAAGTATAATGTGTAAAAGTGCAGTCACTTATAACTTCTGTAGTCCTGAACTGTTATTGCATAAATAAGTGCTTCTTTACATCTGTCACAGAGATGCTAATGGCATCAGTTAAAATGTCATATATAATAGATCGTGCTAAGGTATAAGTAACTGAACTTCGTTTTGAAATGACCCTTCATAGCCAGGTGGTTAAGGAGCTCTACTCGCAATCTGACGGTCGCGGGTTCGAATCTCCGTCACACCCTTTCAGCCGTGAGGGTGTTATAATGTGACGGTCAGTCCCAATATTTGTTGGTAAAAGAGTTGGCGGTTTTACACTGCTAAATTAGGGAAGGCTAACGCAGATAGCCCTCGTGTAGCTTTGCGCGAAATTCAAAAACAAACAATACGTTTCGAAAAAAAATAAGTCCGAAAATCTCTAAGTTATAATAACCAGAATTAAGGAGTTATAAATAGAATATAACATCAATCGTATATCTTGAGCAGTAAAAGCAGTTGTTTAAATTTCTACAATGAAATTACTCAAACCAAAATCTGTTCTGAAAGATATTTATTTCTTATACTTGTTGCTACTACTGCCTAGAGTAAGGTTACCTAACATGCATGTAAAAATATTTTTGTTTTTTTTACTAACAGTTGTTTTTTTTTTTGCAGGAAAAGTATTAAATATAATTTAATTTGTTGCTCGTAGAATACTTGCACATTAGTTTATCATATAATTATATGCAGTTAAACGTGGAAAATCTTTAAAACTCTGAATTAAGGATTTTTTTTCCATATAACTTGGTATATTAAATATAAAACTTGTAGTCCTAGTATCGCGAGTCTTTTCTTTGGCCATAAATGTTGTACGAATTAATTGTTTACTAAATTAATATCTAGATTGAGGTAATGTTATCAAATAGGTTGTTCACATGTTTCTGTGATTTCTAGGATCTAAATTCTAGCAATACCTGATAATTTCCCATTGAAACTAATCATCAATATATCTAACTTGGATAAAAGATAATAAAGAATAAAATGACACGTCTGAATAAAGACTTTTTATAGTTTTACTTTGTGCAACTTTTTGTCAGGCAGTAAAGACTGTGTTACAATGAAGTATTTACTGCCTGACAGAGAGCGTCTGCACGAAATGTTGCACAAAATAAAACTATAAAAAGTTGTTATTGAGACGTGTCAATTTATTCGTTACTATACTTTATCCAAGTGTTTTTCTCACGTCTTGCGGAACAACATTTAAACAATATATCTAAACCTATTTGTGTTCTCTAAAAGTATTGTGTGTATAATGTGTTATTGTAACGTAAGAAGTACTATAACGAGTAAATGATGAAGTAACAAAAATCAGTATTTTATATTTATAAACGTCCTAAATAATATCTTATACGTGTAATACTTTTGAATTCTTCCAATTGTATTTACATATATAACTTTTTAATACCAATTCTGATAGTAGTAGAGAAGATACAATTGATAAAGAGATATCCAAAGCAACTTACGTTATTAATAGGTATTAAATAAGCTTTCTTCATTGGTCCTGTTGTAATTTCATGGTTTGCAGGATAATGCTTTATTGCTTGCTTTTTTTACTACGAAGATAATGCTCTATGTTGCAAAGCACGTAAGATCCATGGCTCACTCAGAACCCTGATCTTAACCGTATAAGCATTTTTAGAACCAGCTAAAGGAGTTAATTCGAAAGTTTAGACTCCAAACTTTCACTCACGATTAACGAGCCGAGTTTTTTAAACAACAGCGGAGAAAAATTATTCCGCAAAAAAGTAGCAACCATTCAGCCTTAGGGTTGTTACAGTGTAGTCGTGCACTAGTCGCTAGAGCATTCCTCTATGACTAGGTGACGTGATATCATGGGGTTTTTGTTTCTGTCAACCCTTTAAAACTGCTATAAACGTGTGTAATACAGAAGAACTATCTAATTTCGATTAATTCGTTGTGAAACCGCACCAAAACCCTGACATGTATGATTTCAGGTTAAATCATATAAGGCACTCTTGTGTAAAAAGTGATGTTGTTTTCTCGGAGCACTTCCGCTTCATACTCCCAAATTTTTTTACATTAAATATATTGAGCTCCGCCACAAATTATTATGATTGGATATTTCAATCTTCCCTTTTTTTTTCGCGCGAAGTGTTCTAAGTACACATCCCATACCAAGAGTGTGGCCTAAGGAAATTCTTTAATTTCCGAGCACCTCGGGTCTTCAATCCTAAATCCCTACCAAGACAACGAGGAGTGAAGAAGTGGACATCATATTCCGAACGTGAAATAATTATTGTAAGTTGGTTTCAAAGGGCTTAAATTAATCTAAGTAGTTTCTTTGAATCAACATATGATGAGTCGTGCAATGACCAGACTTAGTAATAAAAAAAAATAGATTTAAAACAGTGATTTTAACCAATGCTTTAAATGAGTACTATTGAAAAAAAACAGGAACTAAGCAGTCTAAACATTTGTTTATAAGTTAATTACAGTTCAGATTGTTTACGACTTAAGTAAGCCATGTTATCAGACATCCTGTCTTGATATTTGTTTTTATCAAATTTTGAATACAATTCGAATCCAATGCTGATTTCAAAACGTTCTTGCATAGTTTAAAACATAAGCTAACTAAACATAGAACATATTGCACTGATAATATAATATATCTTTTCTTTAGAATTAACTATGGAAATACAAGAATTTTATAATAAAATGTTTATTTACCACTTAATTTATGACGCTTTGAAAAGAGAGAAACCACATTGAGAAAGCTTGATTATTAACACAATAACAGGCAGAAAATAATCTTTAAGTATTAAATATTGATATTGAACTCAGAAAAGAAATTGCAATAGGTTAATCCAATTCACTCTAAATGCCTCTAAGGTGGTTTCACGCTCTACAGATTTTTGACCTGTAATCTGTATATGTACAGATTACAAGTAATATTTCTTTGAATAAATTCCTAAGGAGACCTTGTTATGGGAAGTATTTTTGTAACTATGGAAATTTATTCAATAAAGACATATAACTAACTTCTTGTCATTCATTTTAATCTATTTTATATGACAAACTTTTTTTTTGACCCAGACAACTAATTAAAGTCTTCAAACCAAAGTTTTGCGGTTGCGTTTATACCTTCTGTTAAAACGCAAGGTATAACGATACATAGGCCAATACATTAAAGTATTTAAAACGTTTTTCTACAGTTTCATACACTCGTGGCTATACAAGTTTTAATTAAACTTATTCAATAATTTATTTTGCGGAATTTCTTTATTGGATTTTTTTACTGCTGTGTATTTTGTTGATATTCACTTAGAATCATAAAGAGCTCAAATTATCATTAACGATTAAACTTCAAAGGGACCACTTTTTTTCTAGAAGGAATTTCTAATATTTCTGTGGTCTGAATTAACATTTATGAGTTACAATTAACAGATTTATTCTCGAATTGTCTTTGTATTATTTTATTTTTTTCGTAATCGAGTCCAGACGTCATTTTGAAGCCTTTTCTAAAGCTTTCTACTTTATTACATTATTTTTGTTCTGGCCAACAAAAGCATAAGTTTACAACCAAATATAATGCCTCTATTCTGAACTGACCCGATTTCGATCCAGTAAACAGATCACAACAGCGAATCTGTAACTTGATGGAGCAAAGCTGTTATTAGGAGATAACTCTAAAAACCCATTCTTATTGGTTAACGCTAACATAAATGAAAACCTTTAAAATACTTCCGTCACTTCCTTATGAAAAGTGCTTTATAAGCTGTGTGATTGTAGAACATATTATTCCAAATTTTAGGAGTTTCAATAAGTTTCATTAACTTCTGCGTCAGTGCGTTTAATTGTAATTTACACAATAATTGAAAAATATGTTTATCACGTTTTGCCCGAAAGTTTTTCTGACGAACTACTGCAAAATTTTAACTTTAGATATCCAACATCTTACCTCAAATATTTTATTAAAGTTCAAGACATTAGGCACCTGAAGTCAAACCATGTTGATGTTTTTTTATGATGTATACATATCTATTTATCAGATTTTCTTTCTCTCTTTCTCTTTTTTTTTTTTGCAGTTTGTATGGGAGCATTTTCTACCTGTGTAGCCCTGTTTCTCTCGCCTGTGATAGTAGCCATCTGCCGACGTAAAAGTACCAGATTGTTAGCCGTCCTGGGTGGACTAATAACAGCGCTTGGGTGCCTGTTTACGTCATTTGCCTCTCAGTTCCACCAACTTTTTGTTAGTTACGGGATCTTTGTGGGATGTGGTGTTAGTATGACCCGTGATGCAGCAACACTCATGGTTGGTCAGTATTTCAAACGAAAGAGAGAGTTGGTCGAAATCGCCATCTTCTGTGGTACAGGACTAGGAATGACCATTATGCCCGTGTTTCTAAGTGAATGTATAAGGTTGGTATAACCTTCATTAAAGTAAATAATAAAAGGTTTAAAGCAAAGTTCTGGTTGTCCACTTCGAACTGTGTGTAATTGTTTGTTGTACTGTATGTCGCCCCCGATAACATAATTCTCTTCCAGTTCAATATACTGAGAAGATAAAATAATATTAGTGATTAGGTGTTACTGGTTGAATAAAAGTTGTAAGCCTGTGATCGTTACCTTCTTAATATTTTCCCTTTTAACTTCTAGGCAAATGTTTATATTTTGGAACCAACTTCCCGCTGTTAAAGTGATATAGAAACTTATATGTTGAATGAAGAATTAATAAAATATCCATTTTTTCCTAATAATGGCTTCAAAATGTATTTTGAAAAATCGTATTCCTAATCAAATATTTTTGTGTATTGAAACAAAATCACACAAAGTATAACATATTTTTTCATCTGATAATCTTCAGTTTTTTATCAAACATATTTACTTTTATTTGTTTAACGTTAACTCAAAACTATACAATAGGCTGTCTGTGCTGTGCCCACTACAGGTATCGAAACCCGATTTTTAGCGTTATAAACCCGAAGACTTACTGTTGAACCATTTACAATGCCCCCCCTCCCAGTGGCACAGCGGTATGTCTGCGGAGTTACAACGCTAGAATCCGGGTTTCGATACCCGTGGTGGGCAGAGCACAGATAGCCCATTGTGTAGCTTTGTGCTTAATTACAAACAAACAAACATTTACAATGTAACTAAATTGTGAGAGGAGAATTTATTAGCATGCAGAAAGAATAAATGATATTATGCAAATAAAAAAATGTGAAAAAATTTACGTGACATTTAACCAAGTTTACTTGGCAAATTTATGTTTTTTCCTAACTGAACTCTGTTGGTAATGTCTTTTTTTATTTTATGTCTGATGTCGACGTTAGATTTAACTCTTATACCTAAAGTACGTTTTATTAGGTTGATTTATCTTTCCGCCCCGTGGTGACTCAACGGTAGGCTTCAGGACGTATTACACTAACATTCGAGGTTCTACACCTGCGGTGAGGACAACGCATTGTGCAGTTTTGTGCTCAAGCAAAGCAAACAAACTTTTTTTTTTTTTTTACAAATCGCAGTTTTTAGCTACGTGAAACAAAGTTAAAGACAGTCAGATTTCGCATAGAAATCTCGGCTAGGGAAAAGTAATATTTGAACGTGTTTTAAAAGGATCATGCTAAACATGTAGTGAAACTTTTCAGTTTCTTTGTAGGTATCTTTAAAACTTGTGACAGTATTGTGTTAAAAATACTGTAGTCTCAACAAGTGTAGTTAAATCAACCTCTCTGTATTCCGTTATGATATCAACAATGATCAATATACTTATAACGTTAACACAACATACACTATCAATTCGAATAATATTTTATATATATAAGGATTATATACTGATATTGTGTTCACTGTGAAATATATGTACTCAAAAAACATATATTATAATTTATATTCGCATGTAACTTGATTTTATCTTCAAATTTTGCACTTCGATGGCACAGCTAAGATTCGGATTTTGATACCCGCGCTAGACAAAGCACAGATAGCCCATTGTGTGCCTTTGTGTTTAACTGCAAACAAATAAAACCTACATATTTTGTGAAAAGTGGATATTATTTTCACGGATCTGTAAATTGTATTTAAATTTGCCAATGTGATGAACATTTTGCCATGATAGAATGCGACGATTTTAATACGTTGAATTTATTCATAGATGGCAGCAGTACTGTTGTTAATTACAATTTCTAAATCATTGAGTGTAAACTTCTCTTACCTTAGAAGTTTACTCATTTTGCTTCACACAGTAAGCGCAAATTTTCGAAATCCTTTATTATTGCTGCCATGATACATTTATCTTTACTTCAGGAAGTAATGGTGTAGCATACTTTAAAATTTCGATAGTTTTAGGCAACATCAGAGTAGTTATTAAGGACTGAAATACGTTTCAGAAAATTAAAATATATTCATATCGGTGCTAAAGAAGGTGATAAAGTATAATGTGTTTAATTCTTTTTTAATCGTCTAAAACAGAAGCGTATAAAACTCACAGAAACTAGAAAAGTGTTGAGTGCAAGTCAAACCTAACTTTAGTTAATTCTTAGTTCCTGTTTTACTTTTAGAACAGCAGGGTGGAGGCTTGGCTTGCAGGCAGTCACAGGGGTCGTCTTTATTACGTTTATTTTGGGAGTCTTCTATCGCCCAGCGTCCTTGTACCACCCACAAAGAAGAGCAATTCTCCATCTGAAGGGTTTACAGAAGCGATCAAAGGCAAAAGATAAGCAAGCGACTGTTGAGAAACCGCCTTTCTTCGACTTTGGGGTTCTTAAATCAAGGACGGTACAGATCCTTCTTCTAGGAACTGGGTTGGCAGCCTTTGGAGCTCACACACCAGTTATATTACTAGTGAGTTTATAGTAGTCAGTTAACTTATGTAGCATATATATGTTATAAAGAACGCCAATAATAGATCAAACCTGACTCGATGTGATTAGAAGGCCAGTACTAAATTTACTGCTTACCCATCGTTACGACGAGCCAAACTGGTCTTCAGTTGGCCTAGCTTGGAAATCACAAGTTAGCCAAGTAAAACATTGAACATTTTCACTGTTATTTCATGGTGCTGTTTATTCGTCCACGTGTTGTCAGTGATTATAATTCATCTTACAGAGAGTTAAACCCAAAGTTGTGTGGCATTTCAGTTAAACATGTATATTTTTCAGCATCCAATTACTCTTACGTGATTGTTAGTGTTATAGGATTAGTAATGGTGTAGCGTCACAGTGAATTCCTTTAATCCTAATTTATAAATTACAAGTTCTTTAAATAAACATATAATTCATTTTACAGAGAGTTAAACCCAAAGTTATGTGGTATTTCTTGTTATATATGTATATTTTTCAGCATCCAATTACTTTTAGGTAATTGTTAGTGTTATACTTGTAGGGTTAGTAATGGCGTAGCGTCACAATCAATTCCTTTAATCCTAATTCATAACTTACAAGTTCTTTAAATAAACGTAGATGTATTTAAATTGTATTTCATTAGTTTTAAGATCAAATCGATAATTGATCAAAATGTATTTTTAAGTTTTGATAGGATATAAAAAAGTATCACGACACCAACAGGTTGACCTACAGCTAGTTTACTGAAGGAAGCCTCGCGAAGAGCTGTAACGTAAAAGTTTATTGATCTATTGGAATGATATTTAGAATTGTAATTTGTACAGACTGAGAGAAAACTTTACTCCCTGTTGAGTACAGCCATTTCCGAAGATAAATGTTCATACAGGGAGTTTTTTTTACAATACCGAACCAAAGGATACAACGTTTTGATACAAAACCGAACCAAAGGATACAACGTTTTGAAAGACAGAGTCTTCAGGGTTCTCTACAGAGAACAGTGATGGACTCCAAAACGACACCATAAACAGTGAAATATCAAAAGTCATTCTTCTTCTTTCTCTTTGCTGGGATTTAAGTCTTTAAAGATCTGGGAGGGTCAGGTTCGTTGACCTCTTCCTCCCTCTCGTACCATGTTGTATGATTTCTGTAGAATGTATGTGTAGATACAACATGAGGGTCATGTAAACCACACTTACTCCGACCCCTTTCAGGACATTGTCCATGTAGGTATCGACTGTTACATTCGTCTGTTGTTTACACCTTTGCTTATGTTCGATATTACATAGTCCTGTACTTCACGAACAGTTCAGTATGTAACACACACATTTCACCAGTTGTAATCCTAATTGGAGAACATTTTACATAAATACCCTTTTAAATGTTTTCAGCTTAGTTTGAACTAATGTAAGTTGTTCAGTCTAGCATTCTAAAATATATGTTAACTGGCGAGAGGTGCTTAGGTCTATTTCCATCATGTATGTAGTAGCGATCAAGTTCACACAGTAGGTCGTTTTTATGCCAATTTTTTTATAAAATAATTTAGAGAATTATGTAAGAGACTATCAGCGATAGTTTGCATGTTTGTGTGATTGTGCATGAATTTCGATGATTTGCTTCGTGGAACTTTATAGGCTGTTGTAAGTAATGAGTTTTGTATTGTTTGTAATTTATATATCTGTTTAGGCGCTATGTTTATTCATGCTGGGCATGCATATTCTAGGACTGAGCATATGTATGTTTTTTATATTTTGATTATATTATCTAGTGTGGTTCCATGTTTTTTTTCCAGTTAGACTTCTTGCATAATTTGTTCGTTTCCGAATTAATATGTTATTAATATGTTTAACCCACGTTAATTTAAATTTGTAGGTTAGGCCTAGAAATTTTGCTGAATTTGTTGTCACTGTCCCGCTCATGTATATTTTTGGTGGGTTATTTTTATGTCCTGTTAGGTTTGAAAATACTACTAGTTGATTTTTAGGGACATTTATGTTTCTTCAATATTTTTGACAGTATTCTTCTATATTGTTTAGTTGTGGCTGAAGATTTTTCCAGCCCGCAAAATCGTCTGCAAATTGTGATGAAAATACTATGTTTGGGTCTTTCAGAGACATATTGCTTACATGCATGATGAATACAATGAGACTAACTACCCCCTTCTTGGGGACGCCTGCCTCTGGAGTAAAGGACTCCGAGTAGGTTCCCCTAACATTTATTTTACATTTATTATTTTCCAAAGAGTTAGATAACCAGCGAATAATTCCACGCAGAAGGCCCATTTCAACCATACAGATCCTAAAACCATCGTTCCAGACAGTGTCGAATACTTTCTCGACATCGAGAAAACATGCCACAGTACATTGGTGTTTTGAAACGTCAATTATGGTTTCTGTTAATCTGACCAAGAGGTCAGTTGTCTGTCTACATTTTCGAAATCCACCTTGGATTTCCGGGAATTTTGAGGTTGCTTCCAGACAATTTGAGAGCCTGTTTCCAATTATTTTTTCTAGACTTTTCCCTACACAGCTAGGCAGACTGATCGGGCGCTAGTTGTTTAGTTATTTGCTGGTTTTCCTTCTCTATGGAACATTAGTACAATCGCTTGCTTCCAAGAAACCGAGATATATCCAAAGTTTAGAGATAGGTTAAATAGTGCTGTTAGGTGTTCATACAATTCATGAATGCCGTTTTTGAGAAGGACGACCTTTTGGTACCCCTAGGCCCATTCGGAAATGCCGCCTCCCCATTCCATGGACAGGACGTATTGGCAACCAAGAGTTATAAAATATTTTAGGGCAGTGGTGTCGAGAACAGCAGTCTATTAGGTCTATTAAGAGTTGAAGGGAGGCAACTCTTATTTTTAACAACTACTTATTAGCGTTGTGTTCGCTACATATTTTGTTAGAAAACAAAAGAAACAACAACAACAAAGCAGATGCCAACGGAATTTTGTCCTAAGTCCAGGCCTAACGACACCTATGCGAAATACGTGCCTTTGATTTCATCTAATATATTCTTTAAGCCCTACGTTCACATATCAGAGGGTTTGTAGAAAGTTTATCAAGATGTATTGTCTAAGATTAACCTCACTATCCCTTACAATCGTTTGTTATAATGGAAACTGAAGTGTAGAGCAAAAGTGCATAATTATGGCCATCAGAGAGGGCGCAATTAACAATGGGCGTATTAGTTTCCAGGGTTTCTTTTTTTTTTGTAGAATTTCGCTCAAAGCTACACAAGTTGTTAGCTGTCTCTAAGTTTGAAGCGATAGCTTAGAGAAAATGCAGCTAATCAACTCCAACCATTAGCAGACCGAATATTGGGATTTAAACGGCACTTTTATAACGCACCCATAGCCCCAGAATGCTGAGGGCGTTTATTTATCTGTGGTAACCGGATGCGAACCACAAAACCATAGCTACACAAACCTAAACCTTAACCACTGGCCAAGTGCAGCCAGTTTCAAGGGAATTTAGAAAGCTGAAATATTGCCATATAAAGTATAATTACCCTTTGATATAATATGATTCCATTAGAAGTGGCATTATCACATTATAAGAAACGGAAAATATTTCAGCAAATAAAATAATAATGCAATATGCTGTTTTAAAAATTGCTGAATTGTAACCTGAGCTAGATGTTTATAAAAAATAAGTGGTTTAACACAAAAGTAATAAATACAGTTCGTAAATAGTTGGTTAAAGAATGACGTAGTATTATTATTATTGATTTTCTCGCACTTGAAATTGTTAACTATGGGAATACAATTTGAGCAGTATAAATGTGTATGTATACATTATTTACTTATATTCCATCTATAAATTTACTTCTGTAAGTTTATTTATTTTATTTGTTAAAAGATAAAATATTAGTAAATTTGTATAACACTTATTGTATCTGTTGCTAGGTTCAGTGTACGGTTATGTCATTTCAAACAAAACCATCGTTCATATGTTCTACTAGTGAACAAAGTCGTAATAGCATCAATTGTCACACATCTGTAGTGTCATTGGTACATTTTTTAGCATTGTTGATGGTTTATGTATGTACATATGTATGTATACGTATATATGAAAGGGCAATAAGCATCTTTAGTACTGAAACTTTAGGTTCATTCGTTATACTTAGAACACCAAAATAGCTATAATGATATAAGATATACCAGAGTCGCCATTAAAACTGGATGAAATAAGTAACATAAAATCCTTCAACTTCAACTAATCGTTGTACAAAACTCTTCTTGCAGGTTTATCAAGGAGAAAAAGAAGGCTTAGACTATCAGTCCCTGTTGCTACTTCAAGTCTTTCTGGGCCTTGCTTTTGCACTTGGGAGCGGGGCTTTCGGATTTATAATTGTAAAGAATAGTGTTCAATGCATGATTGCCCGCCAGTATCTCTGCCAAGCTGCTTTGTTCATGATCAGCGCCTCTCTTCTTGCCTTCACAGCTTTGAAAGAATACCAAGGATTCGTGCTTTTTGTGTGGATTTACGGACTCTTCTACGGAGGCTATAGTTACTCATTAAAGATGTATACTCTTGAGAAAGTGCGAGCCCGCAACTTTGCAAGAGCGTGGGGTTTTGTCCAATGGATACAGGCCATTCCATTTGCAGTGGGGATTCCCGTTACAGGTAAGAACAATCCCGTTTTATGTTCGGTATTAATAAAAATGCGCCACTCTAACACATTGAAATTACATTTTTTTTAGGATGAAGATTCTCTGCTGGTTTTCATCCATTTTGTAATTATAGTAGCTAAAGTCAAGATTTGTAATTTTTTTTCATAAAAATTAAATATGAACGTATTTGTTGGATTGAGATGAAAATCAGGAATATCTGCCAAGCCAGAGCTTTCACTTGCTGGTGTTTATATAGAAGCGTAAGTTAAAGATTCCGAAGTGTTTTCTGTAGTATTCTTGTCTAACTATAAGTCAAGACCTGAATGTCAAGATTTTTTGTTTGACAGTGATTTTTGTTTATGAGGCAATTAGATGACTAAAATTTAGTGTTTGGCATTTTTAACCTGAATGACAGCTTATGAGACACGTGGGCTAGGCCTAGCATGACCTGGCAGTAAGAGTTGTCGACTCGCAATGTGCGAATCGCAGGGTCGAAACCCGTCACCGAACATGTTTATTCTTTCAACCGACGATCAATCTCACTATTAGTTGGTAAAGAGTAACCCAAGAGTTTGCAGTGGGTGATGATGACTAACTGCTTTCACTTTAGTCTATCACCTCAAACGTAGGAACGGCTAGTTCAGATATCCTCAAATAGCTCGAAAAATACAAGAACTAAACAGCCAGTCCAATCAAGAGATCACACTGTTCAGGTATCGCCACACCTAATTTAGGTACTGCTGATCGGAAGGAGGGCAATCGGTGAGAAGCACTCGCTGTCTACGTGGTTACTTTTAATCTAATAGTGGGCCGGGTGTGGCGAAAAGGTTAGCTCTGAGCTATGGATCCAGGGATCCATTCATTGCATTTCGTTGCCGCACAAACACAGATAGTGTTCTGCACATGGGGCCATGATGCGTTATAAAAGTGATAGTTAAATCCTACTATTCCATTAGAGTAGCTCAAGAGTTGGCGGTGGGTGCTGTTAACTAGCTGCCTTTCCTCTAGTCTGTTGTTTCAAAATTAGGGATAGCTAGCGCAGATAGCAATTTTATAGCTTTGTACCGAATATCTGAAACACACAAATAAGCCATCTTTTCCCAATTTTTACCAGTCACCATCATTATAGACCAGTTGACTAATGGATCTTATCGTTTTTACGTGCGCTTAGTCTTGAATAAAACGTAGTGTAATTATTTAACATTAGTTTGCATATACTTCAAAGAGTTTTGAATATAATGAATAAACTTCAAATGTCTTATTTTATTTGAAGAGAATATAATTGTAAATGACTCATCATATGTTTTTATAATATGTGCGTTTGTATTTCTTTACACCGAAACAACAACAACAACTGTAAACACTCCAATTGACACCAGAAATTATAAGTTGCTTTATGATGTACCACATGTAGAATACGCATTTGCGTTTACAGAAAGTGAAAATGAAAAAAGTCATTTTAATATCTTTTAAAAAGATTCGCATTTCTCTATGTTAAGATGTTAAATGATTTCTGAAGAAAAGAACTCAAAGGAAAAACAAAAAAAAACAAAAGAATGGAAGTACAACTTTTTAAAGTAAAGACATGGTAAAGTCAAAAGCTTCTGTAACATGATGTAATTATTTTTTTATGTTAAGAGCTCTAACTTTTTTTAAATTTCGCTTATTTCATTCCTATGCAGGGTATATCAACGAACAGTATGGTGGAAAAATAGGATTTTACTTCTCTTCTGCGTTTGCTTTTGTTGGCAGCGTTACGCTATTTCTCATAGACATTCATAAGCGAAACGTCGAGAAGCGGAAGATGAGTGTGTTTAGCGAGGGTAGACGATGTTCGGACGCCTGCCTCAGTACCAGGACGTTTAGTCGACAATCCTCCTTTCAGGATTCGGCGTTTGGACGCAATCCACCTCTCTCTCGGCTTCAGCAGCGTAGTCTGACGTTCAGCAACTACACGGATTTGCGACGGCAAGAACTGACGTGCATATCGGAGGAGGTGGCAATGGAGAATTTTCTGGAAGACTTAGTAGACGATTGTATCACTTCCTGTAATAAAGAAGAAAAATATTTGATGCTGAGCGAATACGAACAAAATCTGAACAAAACACAAGAGGATCTGGAAGACGAGGAGAAAGCTGAAGGATTAAGAAAAATGTCTGTGATTAATTCTCCATCGCTAGAGACATGTCCCAGCTGTTTAAAGTACGTTCATAAGCCAATAGATGGCAGAACAGATCAAACATCCATCACTGATTCATCACCTCGGCCAAATAGGCAGAATCTACAAAAGGCTGTGTGTAATGTGGACATTATTGAAGAGGTTACGACTTCACTATGATCAAAAGATATATATTACAGAAAAAAAACAAAAATAAAAGGTAGTTAAGAAAAAAAAAGCCAATCACACGTAAAATCTTATACAACGTATTTGTACCAGGTTGACTAATGTATTGAAATTCATTTACAATAACGAAGTAGAATTAAGTTAAAGTGTAGAAACTACCCAAGAATCAAAAAGTGGTCCAAGTAAATGTTTCTATATTTTCAACGCTAAATCTAGACCTTTGTCATTTACTGCTAAGGTTTTACGTAACTTAGCTATACGAGTCTAAAAATATTTAGATTATGTATTATTTGTTGTCTTTCACATTTGTTTTGCGGGAAAATAGTTCACTTTAAAAAGAATAAATCCAAAAATTTTTTTTCTTCTGAGTAATTGACAATAATTAAAATTATCAAACACTTTCAAAAGGCCAGTTTTATATATTACACCCCTCATCAGGATTGATGTGAAGATGAAAAGAAAAAAAAAAAACGTTTGTCCGAATAATTCTAGTTAAGAAGCAAGTTTCTTTGATAGTTATGTCCATCAATGTATGCGTCACTAGAAGTTACTTGTAATGTTTGAAACCATTTTAAATAATATGCTTTCCGACTTACAAACTTGTTATGAGCAGCAAATCAACCATCGAGGCCAGAGTTCAAACACTTTAATTAACCCATAATGATACATTCTATATAACTTATTCACGGGTGTTGAAGCACTAAGGGTGCAGTGTCTACATTATTTTTTGCTTATCTTAACTGTATATTCTTATTTCATATGTCCTTATTTTTTGAATAATTCCTATTTATAACCGCTTTCCTATTCACATTTTAAAGTCTTGCTTTTCTATAAGCAAATGTGTCTTGCTTTTAGTCATTAATAAACCTGCAACTTCAGGGAAGAAAAATAATTTTTCTAAAAATTATAAAAAACAACTTTTTTTCTTTTTATGACTAACCATCGTAGATCGGCTATTCATGTGTTTAATACTATATTTACTCATTCCTAAAATACAATATATTACATGTAGTAGTTCATCGGGTAAATGGGGCTTAATCCATTCGTAGTTGCGGGTAGCAACAAATCAAACCCCTAGCGGGAAAGAACCCCCACAAAATTATTACAAAACTTTGAGACATAGTTCCAGATATTGTCTTCAGTACTTACAGGATAATGCAGGTATTTAATGTTTCTAAGTTACAAGAATCACAATTCTTCGCTTAAAAATTCCTTTTAAAATCGTAAAGGATTTTATTGACGTTTGTACTTGTAGTTATATTTTATGTCAAAGCTATTAAGTCTACCTGCGCTGTCCCTAATTTTGAAAAACTGAACAGAAGAAAGGCAGCCAGTGAGTAGCACCCTACCACCCACGCAAGGAGTTGCCTGCCACTCTTATAACGCAACCATATCTTAACATGCAGGGAATATTTTGTAGTATCGCACGGATAGAAACCGCTCCCCGGTGGGATAGTGGTAAGTCTTCAACATGACAATGCAAAATTCAGGGGTTCGATTCCCCTCGGTAGATACAGCAGATAACCCCGTGTGGCTTTGCTATAAGAAAACACAAACACCGATAGAAACCCAACTCCTTAACTCAGAAATCCAGAGAACTACCAAAGGGCCATCCCAAGTACCAACTTTTCATACATAATATACACGTTATACCTGTTTAGTGTCCACTCTAACTTATTGTTCGTATTCGAGCAGCATCGCGTGTTTCGTTCAGTTATCCTTTTCTTCTTCTTCATTTCTTCAGGCTTGAAGTTGTACAAAATATTTAAAAGCAAAATACTTTACTAAACAAGTAGGAAAAACCATTAAAAACTTTATACACTAAACAACACGAAAACTATCTCATTGTTTTTCCTTGTAAAAATGTCCCCTGGTAAGTCAGCAATAAGTTTACGGACTTGCAACGCTAAAATCCCGCGTTCGATTCCCCCTCGGCGGACAGAGTGCAGACAGTCCTTTGTTGAAACAAAAAAACACACTTGTCATAATAAAATGTTTGATATTTATTTATACTTTTTTCTCGGCTAAATCCCATAAAAAATGGCGAAGAAAGACTATTCGAAAATATTATGTCTAATTAAGCGTCCCCCAGTGACACAGCGGTATGTCTGCGGACTTACAACGCTAGAAACCGGGTTTCGATACCCGTATTGGGCTGATCACAGATAGCCTATTGTGTAGCCTTGTGCTTAACTTCAAAGAAATATTTTTCTAATTAAGTAGAGGTTACATCATTTATTGTAAAACTGGGGCTGTGGGTGCGTTATAAGAATAACGGTGAAATACCACTGTTCGGTCTGAGAATAGATGGCGGTGTGTGGTGTTGACTAGTTGCCTTCCTTCTAGCCTATCGCTTCAAAATTAGGGATGACTAAGCACTATGCTCGCGGGAGCGATGATTGATTCTATGCTGTAGGCCTAAAACAATGCTTTAGCTCGGCTATTTCTATACAACATATAAAAAACGTTTTATTCGTTGTGTTTTTGGTGAAAAATATCTTTGTGTATAACAACATAATTTTCCAATATATATCGTACAAATTTAGGCGTTTGACCGCTTTCTTCTACTACATCCCACCAGAGAAAATTGCATACAAATCACGGCAGTGTGTAAATAATTCCACGTAGCTATACAGTTACTATGTTCTTTGTTTAACAACAATGATTGTTACGTCATTAACTGATTAATTTGCAAATAGTATTATCTTTAGAAAAGATATTCGTATCACAAATGATTTATGAAACTAATATACACAGATAATAATATTTTAAAGGTTAAATCTATGTGATAATTTAATGTTTTCGTATCTGTTAAATAAAAGCGTTACAGTTATCTGGAATAGCTGAATGTTTTTTTTTAAGTTTTTGCTTATGTATATATTTCAGACTTGTTACTTAATCTATTATACCGTGTCTAAAGACACAGCTTTAACAGTGTGTAATAACAGCTATTAATTATTATACACAAAAGCTCTGTAAAACTGTAAACTATATTCTGTATTAATAAACTCACATCTGATTTTTAAGATAACTTACGTTTTGATATCAATATGTCTACTATTTAGATGGTTTGTTATATCTACAAAAAAGTATTTTTAAAGCGACTTACTATTCTATTTTGTAACCTTTTATAATTAAGAAGACAAAACTCTACACATGCAATTAAACTTTTAATGTTGTTTTCACAAATACTAGGGATTTAATTACGTTATCGGTCTTGTCAAACCAAAATTATGATTTTACGCTAACTTTGCATGAAACAAATGTTGAAAGAAAACTAAAACCAAATTTACCATTTCCTAGTGAGAAAGCATCTGACCTGGGGAGAATAAATTCCGTTGTAGGCGTACACACGTGTCTACATTAAGGAAAGGTCAGTGAGGTCCTTCTCTCGAAATTTTTCACTTTGAGCTTGGTTCTGTTAAACCTCATATGACCGACTTGGAGAGAATCAGTTTCACTCTGGATGTACGCACGCGTCTCCATTAAAAAAAGGCCAGTCAATGAGGTCCTTCTCTCGAAATTTTTCACTATGAGCTTGGTTCTGTTAAACCTCATATGACCGACTTGGAGAGAATCAGTTTCACTCTGGATGTACACACGCGTCTCCATTAAGGAAAGGCCAGTTAATGAAGTCCCTCTTTCGAAACTTTCCTTTTTGAGTTTGGTTCTGTTAACCTTCGAATGACCGACTTGGGGAGCATCAGTACGACTGCAGTCTGGAAAGTTTTATGATCGGACATCTTGCCTTTAATGTTATGTTTTGATGACATCTTGATACGCTCACATATTCCCTTTTCAAAGCTATTTCTTCCACATTCTTAGGGAAATCCCGATAGTAAACACTTTCCAGATTATGCCCTCCTGTCAGCCATACCTTTCAAACAGTACGAGTATTGAAGTGAATACGGGCATACATTAAATAAAAGCTAGACAGTGAAGCTCTCATTTGAAACGTTCACCCTATTTAGTTAACCTAGAAATAACTAACTGTTTTTATACCGTTAACCACTATTGGGATTACACAACGCGTCATATCCAACAATTCTATGTTTTTATTTGTTTAACATTCAGAGTAAAGAACTGAAAAATCCCTTATTTGCTATATGAAATACACAGGGGACCCCAGTAGCACTTGGTAAAAATACGTACAATACATTGATGGTATTTTTGTTTAGATATTTGTGTGTGTATTTATATATTATGTAGGACTAGATCTTTACTCCCCCCCTCCAAAAAAAAAGAAAAAGAAAAAGGAGAAACAGAGCAACAACAACATAAACCAACAAGCAAGTTTGTACATAAATAGTCCAGATAAAGGTGCCTAAAAGCCAATAGGATCAATATTGACCCAATCATTAATTTAAGACAGACAAAACTGTGTTACAAGGGCCATGGCAATCTACTCCGTTTTCTGTTAATTTGACCAATGATTATGAATCTCTTGAACATCCAAATCCTATTTATTTCCTCTTAGGTCTGTCGGACTCGTCACTTGAACTTTAAATAATGAAAACTACGAATATAGTGTGTTCTAGCGCATTTCACAGTCTTGGCCAAAATGTTCGTATATTTTATAATTAGTAAGATCATTATTATTAAGGTGGAATATAAATACATGTATCGCTAACAAACTGAAAAATGTTGTATTAAACATCTACATATGTAATTTGTATAATGAGACAGGTTATATGAACATCATGAACGATTTATTTGAACAGCAAACAATTTGATTAGACACCAGGAGAAAGATGTGTAATTCATCTATCCAAAGAAATTTACCTAAACATATATAATGGCAAAATATAATATCAAATTATTATAACTAGCGTTTGTAACCTTATATCAGTTCATATTAAACATTCAGTACTTGGTTGGTCCTCCTCGAACTTTAATAACTTGCTGTTGATTAGGTTATTGATGAAATCCACCATGGTTTCAACCCAGTTTGTCACTAGAAGGCGCTGCAACTCAGCTACAGTAGCCGGTTTAGGGTCGTAGTTAGCAACTTTCTGGCTAAGTTCTGCCCAACAGTTCACAATGAGATTACAATATGGAGACTTTGCTGGCCATGGCAATCTTGTAACGTCCTTCTGGTCGAGATAATCCTATACAATATTTACACTGTTGGCTGTAGCATTGTCATCCTGGAACACAAAGTTATTGCCAAACCTTGCTCTAGCATGTGGCAAAAATATAGTCTCCATGTGATGCCTGTAGGAGGCGCCATTGCCGTTTCTTTGGAGGATATGATGAG